ACTTTCTAAGACAGTTTTATTGAGATATAATTCACATACTATAAAGTACACCTTTTAAAAGTACAATTTGGGGGTGTTCAGCATATGCACAGAATTGTGCATCCATCACTACAACCTAATTGCAGAGCACTTTCATCAACCCGGAAGGAAATCCTGTACTCTTTAGCCCACTAACCTACTTCCTGTCTTTATGGGCTGGCCCCTTCTGGACATTCCATAAAACAGACTCATACAACATGTGGTCTTTGCGATTAGTTTCCTCCAGTTGGTGTGGATCTTGAAGGTTCGGCCATGTTGTAGTGTGCATCAGTACTTCATTCCTTTTTATGGTCAGATCATATTCTACTGTATGGACATACCACATTGCGTTGATCTATTCATCACTTAATGGACATTTAGGTTGTTCATACTTTTCAGCTATTATGAATAGTGCTGCTGTGAATACTTGTGTGCAAGTTTTTGTGTGGACATATGTTTTTAATTCTCTTGGATGTATACTCAAGATTGGAACTGCTGATTATAATTTTGTGATTATACAGATGTATATACATATTTACTATATATATATATACACACACACACACACATCTATACATATATATACATGTATATACACACACATATATATATCCTTTTGAGGAACTGCCAAACTGTTTTACAAAGCAGTTGTACCATTTTACATTCCCACTAGCAATGCATTAAGATTCTAATCTCTTCACATTCTTGTCAACATTTGTTATTGTCTCTTTTTTTATATAGCTATCCAAACGAGGGTGATTTAATTTTGATTTACACTTCCCCTCCATTTTTATATTCCCAGAATTTTCAGTTCCTTTTACAAAGCCTCACTATAAGAGCACTCAATAAATGTATGGTTCATTAATCATCCACTCATTCATTAACTAAGTATTTTTTGAGCATCTCCTATGTGCCAATTGCTCAAGGCCAAGCACATAACAGTGCACAAAATAAGTAAAACGAATGATGAACGAGTAAGCAAACACCAGGAGCTCTGAAGGCCAGTTGTCAATACAAAGGTGGTTCTGTGTCTGGATGTCTGGAAGGTGATGGGACCCGTGACTTTGCCATCACTTCCACATCTATTCATCATGCTATTTTGAGCATAAATTACAAAAATCCAGCATCAATTCAGAAGGATCAATTCCTATTTTAGAGCTCCATATATGTTCAGAGCTAAGAGTGTGACAAGAGCTCAAATTACTGCTGCCGTCACCCTCCTGTATGCATGAAGGACATTTGTCATGGCCTGGCATGTATTTCCTACTTTTCTGGTAAAACTCCCACACTTTTTCTTGAGAATCAGCCTTCCTCCATACTCATTCATTCATCTGACAGACAGTTTTCTGTGCAGTACTATGTGACAGATACAGTTCTCACTGGTGAGAGTACAGCAGTGAACAAAGCGGACACAATTAAAATATCTGCTCTCCCAAAGCTGACACTCTAGGGATTCAGCCCTTGAGCTTAGGCAGAGATGATTCTACCCCTTATTCATGAGGTCCATGGTCCAGGCCCAGCCAATCAGAGCAGCAAATTTCCATGGCTACAGTGACTGGTTCAAGGGAAAGCATGTGACCAATTCTAAGACCTTTGCCAGAATGATCAGAAAAAAAAGTGTTTTCTCTTTTTCTTGAACTAGAAGACATAAGCTTAGAGCTTTAAGGGGTCACCATGAAGAAATACCTGCATAGGGAAAACCTAACAAATTGCCAAGCCAGGAGACAGAGAGAAAGGGAGCAGGCTCTGGTGACATGGGATCCCAGGAACAAGTCATGCTTGCAACGAGGCACTGAGACCTCCAGGGTATTGAAGTCAATAGATTTTTCAGCAACTAAATGAGCTTCAGTTAATATAATACACAGCCTATTTCTTATGAAGCCTAAACAAAATTAGGCAAGCCAGGGTCATTTTAATGCCATGGCTAACAAAGCTTTCCTCAAACCCTGGGTCATAAAGGTCCCTGTGCTGAGCTGTCCCCCCTAACTCAGATGACAACCTAATACAAACCCGTTCTGGAGCCAATACTTAAACCTGCCCTCCCTGTTTCTCTTCTCTGAGACTCCTAGCCTTCTGTCAAAGACAAAGCTTGCCAGTAGTGACAGCAAACCCCTCTCTTCAGTGGCCTGCCGCTCGCACTCTGTTCCCATGGCATGCTAACCAAACTAGAAACTGACACATGGGCCCGGGGAAGCCCCGTGTCGGCGTCGCTTTTAAATGAGACTTCACACTTTCTTCATTTTTATTCTTCTGCTATACAATTTTATTTCCACTTAGGCGTTAACAGCAAAACTTCTACTCCTAGGAATGTTGCCTTTTGAACTTGACCTCAAAGTATTAAGGAAATGAAATAAACTCAGTTTTTTTTTCTTTTAGGAAAGAGAGGCAAAATAAAGCTGGTTTCCTGAAATTACTCATGAAAGTAAACTCTCAATGTGACAAAAATGATAAGAACTTCTCTGTGAATAAAGGAGCCAGAGGTTATTAAGGAGTCAGCTTTGGTCCCTGGGTTAGAGTGATCCCAGGATTAGAACCTCGGAAGATTTTAAACCTGAAGAACAATCTCACACAGCTGGTTCACAGGGTAACTTCCCCGGGTTCTAAGACAAAGGGATTTCAGCTGCTAGGTCTAACCCACCTAAGGGTTTCCCATGCCCCATTCAACTAAACTGCCTGAGGGCTCACTCTGTTCAACATCCCAAGTGGGTCTGAGGAAAGCCAAGAAAGATGTACCAAATGCTTTTCTTTAAGAACTCAATTATACAGGGCAGTGCAAGAAAAAGTTATTAACCAAATTCCCAATGGTTAAAGTAGGCAGAGGGCCTTATGAGAAGAAGGTATTAGGGATGAGGAGAGAGGTTCAGGGAAGGGTCCCACAAAAGGAACAGCTGAGCTGGGTCCTGAAGGACACGTAGGGAGGAGTCCACCAGTGGAAAAGGAAGAAAAAAAGCACTCCAGATGGGGGAAAATCTGGCATTGCAATGTCACACCTGGCAGAGGTAGTCACCTGGGGATATAATGTGCTTATCCTAAGGGTATGTTCTTTGTTCAATTTCTAAGCTGTTTTCATCATTTCATCTTCTTCTAAATGGTGTCTTCTGAAGATGACAGTATTTTGAAAAAATACGGCTCTAGAGTTTTATGGCCAAGTTTGATGAATATGGTCAGTAATCAAGCTGCTTTAGGTGAAAAAAGAGTAGGTAAAGTCAAAGTAATGATACAAATTTTCTTGAATATCTGACAAGCTGGCCTCAAGTCAACTCCAAAAGAGAAAAAAAGATAAAACTGGCAGAGTCCTTGAAATAGGGTAATTACTCAACTATGTCACACGCTGAGACCTACTCGGAAGGGATTCCTGTGTTGAATCTTGAAGGTTCAACAGGAATTTTCCAGGCATATAAGGTTATATATTCTGGTATGTCTGTTTTTTAAAAAGCGCCCTGTAGTCAGAGCTCCTAAGCATTGGAAAATGGGATTGAAAGCAAATCTTATCCCAGTTATTGGTCCAGACTCTCCTTCACTGGATTTTCAGGTAAAACACGGCTGGAATGACACTCTACTGAAATAAGAATACTGCGTTCCTTGTAAAATGTGTTCCATCCTATACCAACGCATGATAGTAGGAGCAGTCATTAAAAACCAAGCTGGATAATGGTTTCATTATCTCTTATATAACCAACAAATAAAGCCAATTGAGTAACAACAGGAAAAAAGAATAACTGGTAAAACAAAATGTAGTGTCAATAAGAAATTTCTAGAAGTTATTTGATTAGTTCACCTCTATTTAGAGGAAACCACATTATTTATACATTTGCCAGCTTTATTCTTACAATTTTTCCATACTGAAACTATCTCACAATGTAATAAAAGACTTTAAATGCTAAGGAATTCCTAAAAGGAATTATTCTAAATTCTTAAAATAAATTTTTAGAGCACATATGTATTTGCTTTGATTTTGCAAAATTAACATATTTATTCAAATATATATTTAGAAAGAAAATCTACTCCCTGCCCCTAAATTTGCCTCTAAGAATTGCCTTTAAGTTCCTAATTTTCCTGTGTGAACTTAGGTTTGTAACATTGTTTTTAATAAAAAGGTTATTTCCTGTCACTCATCTACCTCTACTGAGCTTAGTGTTTATTTTATTATGTTTTATTTTGGTTCTCTGTTGAGATGTAACATGCAGTGTTATAAAAAGGGGGAAAGGACTTGGACATACTCATGAAGTTTAATTTTAGAATTTAGAGATATTAATATCTATTTGCCCATGGTTTAAACCTACTTATTTAAAAACTCAGAATTTCCTGAGTGGTATGCGTCCTAACAAATACAGAGTCTACCCAGAGCTATCTGTCACTTACAGTCCTATATTATGTTTAGTTCAAAATGTCATCGCAATTGCTTTTTCCTTATTATATTATTAGAAGACTAAGAATTAAATCCTACACCATATTGTATGTAGACTAGCATCCATCATGACACAAAGAAAGGGACATATACAACACAATTAAGTTGGTTTTCATAAGGCCTGAAATTAATCAGCATTAGATTCAGGGAGAATACTGAATTGGGAGCTCTATTCTAGACAAACCCCACCATGGCCAAGATACTGTTTCTGGAGCCTCACCAGCCTCACCTCCTTTGTTCACATTTAACAGTTCACAGGCTATAATGTGCAATGCTAGAAGGCAAACTCTGACATAGTTTTAATTTTCTGTTATGGTCAACTAAAATATTTTCACATTATGGTATTAGCAGAGTCATGCAATTATTACATGAATAGAGTTAAACTCGATTAATTCTTCTATCTTATTTTAAAGATCCACCTTTCTACTACATCAGTGAGGAACAATGAAAAGCAAAAACATGTCATTGCAGCAAATCATAAGTTTAACATCAAAATAATTATCTAGCATATATTTGTTAAAGTTTTAATAGTCGACTATTATACTGCATTGAAAAATATGAAAGTGTATCTGACCTGGAAGTACTTCTGACATGGATCACTGGACGTCAGCAGTGGTGCAGGATATAGGTTATAATCTGAAATCTGAAAAGAGGGATCATTTGAGAAATTAAAACTCCAAACAACAAAGCATGAAAGGAAAAAAGCAGAGCATTGAAAGTTCTTCTAAAAGCTGCTAAAATATTAAACAAATCTTGGCAGATAATGATCAAATTTTTGTTTATGTATAGTCAATTAGATCACTTGACTAAAATTCAAATTCCTGCTTAAACACATTTCCCACAAACATCTCTTCAGACTTTTTTTCCATGCCAGGTTTAAGTTATCTATCTCAAGTTTCCAATGCTTTTTTTTTCATTAAGAACACACAATTCAGAAGCCAATAAAGAAAAAACTAGTAAATCTCACCACATATTAAACCTTCTGTTCAGTGGGGGAAAATGGCTATAAACACAACGAAGACAAATAACAAACTGAAAAAAAAATTCACACCATAGGTAACATAAAAGAGTAAATTTCCTTTATATAGAAAGAATTCTTTGAAATTATTAAGACAACTATAAAAAAATAGGAAAATGAGCAAAGGACAGAAACAAGTCCTAAGAGAAATACAAATGTCTAATAAACAAGAACAACTAACATCACTCAAAACTGAAGAAAATGCAAATTTAAATAATGACGATTTACTGGTTTTCCCATAGCTGACTGTAAGGCTGGTAATACATAATCTAAAGCAAGGACATCAGAAATAGGGAATTTTCAAATGTTGCTGGTGGGAGTAAAAACTGGCAAAACTCTCTGGAGAGCCATTTAGAAATATCTGAGCAAATTTAAAACGCATGGACCCTATTGCTTAGCAATTCCTTTCCTGAGAATTTATTTTATAGATAAATTTACATGGACTCTATTGTTCTAAAAGCAAAAGATCAATAACAACCTAACTGTTCATCAGTGAATAATCAGTTCATTAAACTACAATATAGTCATATGATGGAGTAGCGTGCTGCCATTAGGAAAAATGAACCGAATCCTCATGAGCTGATATGAAAAGGGCTTTAAGACACATCCCAAAGAGATGAATATGCATGATCAAATGTGTGTAAAATTCTTAAAAGCATATATTTATATATGTGTGTATGCATACACACACGTACATGCATTTACACAAAAAATGTCTTAATGCAATAACAAGGAACTAGGTAACAATGGTAAACTGTCAGTTTACCAAATTAGATACATCATAAGGAAACTGAAAACAGACCTTGTTTTCAATGAGCTGCTATCAGGACTATCACTTAGAATAATTATTATATTAATTCAAATGCCAATACCACATGATTCCATTTATATAAAGTACAAAAACAGGAAAAACGTATCTATGTCCAGATAGTGGTTTGCTCTGGAGGGTAGGAAAGGGGAGAAGCAAGACAGTAGCCTTTGGGATGTTGTGATGGTAACACACTTTCCTGATCCAGATATGAAAATTCATCAAGATGTACCCTGATGTGCACATTTCTGTATGCTTACTACATTTCTATGAGATGTTAAAAAAAAAAGTCAAATGTTAGTGGTTTTCTAAAGCATTATTCAAGTTGAGAAACTTCATATTTGCAAAGACTAAATTCTAATCTAACCTTTCCAAACTAGTAACCTTTAATGGGCATTACTTCCAACTTTATGATTCAGGTAATCATAGACCAGACAACCTGGTCTACTGGCCCACCACACATTTTTTTAATTATATTTTCACATATTAAGGATAAGGCTCATTACTCTGGTATAATTAAAAGGGTGGGCTTATTTTACATTGCACTGAAACAGCAAGAGATGCTTCCTCAATGCACGTTTGCTTCTGCCCTGTATCTTTTCAGCTCCTTAGAAAGATTTCACAACTCACTTTTCCTTTTATTTTTTGTCTTTAGTACACCTTCATTTATAAGCAGAGACAAATGTGAGTTGATAGCTATTTAAAGAAAATGACTACCAACAAAGTAGGAAGAAAGCTAATAAAAGGCTTACTTACAGGAGTATTTTGAAAAGGCTTGAGCAATAACAGTAATAATAAAAATCTGCATCCTTTTAGTGTGTATAATCCTTAAAATAAGGATTTTCCCCAATATGAAACAAACTCTAAGCTCTATAAAGTTAAGGACTCGGCTTTCTGCTAAATCACTTCACATTTTAAATGGCCCTGTGCTATTACTATCTGACCAATGTTTAATCCATATGTGCATGAACTAGGCTGAGAGAAGGAAACACTTCAGTGAATAAAAACACATTCTTCCCTCTTGTGGAACTTATAGAGAAGTCAGGGAGATTAATCACAAAATTACTGAAATCAGTTTGTAAGAAAGTACTTATATTCTGGAGGAAAGAAATTCAGTTCTATGAGAAAATAAAATGAAGGAACATGTGATAGACTGGAGAGTCAGGAAACACTCTCCTCTGAAAGTGAAATTTATATCGCAATTTGAGGACTAAATAGGATATATATATTTTATTGAAGTGTAGTCAGTTTACAATGTTTGCATCAATTTCTGGTGTACAGCACAATGCTTCAGTCATATAGAAACATACATTCATTTTCATATTCTCTTTCACCATAAGTTACTATAAGATATTGAATATAGCTCCCTGTGCTATACAGTATGAACTTAGTGTTTATCTGTTTTTTATATCTTAGTAGTATCTGCAAATCTTGAACTTCCAACGTACCCCTTCCCACCCCCTTGCCCCTCTGATAACCATAGCTTTGTTTTCTATGTCTGTGAGTCTGTTTCTGTTTTGTAAATAAGTTTGTTTGTCTTTTTTTTTTTTTTAAGATTCCACATATAGGTGATATCATATGGTATTTTTCTTTCTCTTTCTGGCTTACTTCATTTAGAATGGCATTCTTCAGGTCCAACTCATGTTGCTTCAAGTGGCATTATTTTATTACTTTTATGGCTGAGTAGTATTCAATTCTGTAAATATACCACAGCTTCTTTATCCAGTCATTTGTTGATGGACTTTTAGTGGACTAAATAGGATTTAAATGGGTAAACAGTTATTTAACACCTACTATGTGCAAGGCATTGTTAGCCCTAGGAATGAAGCACAAATATGTAGAACTATTTCTCCCTAGGCACTGACATCCCTGATGTATAAACTAATGTTGTAGAACAGTTTCTGAGGACTATGTGGTGTGAATAAGTCCTACATAAATAATAACCCAAGAAAATACAAAAGCACTCAAGTATGGTTTTAAGAATAATCTATAGCTGGTAGCCATGAGAAACAAGATGGAGCTACTAACACTTGGAAGGTAACTGAGGCACTGAATTTTTAACATTATTTCATTATACATTTGACCCTTAAACAACGCAGGCCTGAACTGTGCTGATCCACTTACACCTGGTTATTTTTCAACAGTGAATACATTATCCGTGGCTGGCTGAATCCCGGGATGTGTAGGAACTTAATCCCCATATTGTTCAAAGGTCCACTGTAATTAATTTAAATATAAATTTATAAAATGATACTTGACTCTTTTGGAGAAACATTTAAGTAAGTTTGGAACTTCTTGGGTAGGTAAATCTACTTTTTCAACCATAAGTTTTACGAAATCTAAATACAGATCAAGGGTTTCCAATGAAAATTCTGCATCTGAGTTGAGTGTTAAAACATATGCTGATTTTGGAGACTTTGCATGAAATAAAATGTAAAATATCTCAATAATTTTAAAATGTTACACATTGAAATGATAACACTTTGAATTTAGTGAGTTAAATAAACACTATTAAAATTATTTTCACTCATTTTTTTAAATGTGGTTACTAGAAAATTTCAAATTATGTATATGGCTCAAATTATGTTTCTATTGGAGAACCACTGATTTAGGAAAAGCAGATGGGTTCTGAAACTTTACCCTATTCAAAGTGTTATCTACTTCTCCCATAAAAAGCAAATATAGGCAGAAATGGTCGCTCAGCTGTAAAGCTAAAGGTTTACCAGCAAGTGCCTTTGTTTCCGCAAAAATCACAGTGAGTTTCAAAGACACCCAAGACTCACAGTGGACCACCACAAGCTTCATATTAAGAATATAGTTGGGGAGGAGGTGGGGGTTTGGCTATAGCTCAGTGGTAGAGTACCTGCTTAGCATGCACAAGGTCTTGGGTTCAATCCCCAGTACCTCCATTGAAAAACAATATATATAGTTATTTCAAAGTGAAAAATAAAATAAGCAAAACAATCTAGCAACAGGTTTCCTTTCCAGCAACGTTTTCATGTGTCCCACTAAAGAAAATTCATAATGCTTATGTGCCTTGTGACAATGCCACTGGAGCTCAAAAAATGTCCAACAGGACCACAGGAGAGCAGCAGAAATCACAAAAGCACTAGTAAACAAAGAAGCGAACAAGTAAATTAAATGCCCACTTGTATTTTGTTTCAGTGTAAGATGCTACATATTTTCCCCCTGCCATTGGACATAAATATATAAATTCAAAATTATATACATATATCTTAATTCAATTTTTTATGACAACAATCCAATCCTCAATGTCTTTATTTTTGTCAACATGATGCCCCCGACCAAGGATGCTACAGTAAATTATCTCACTACAATCATGCCCTTACCTGTTCCATTTGCTTGACTGTTCTTTTTATTTGTGATATTGTAGATTTAGAATAAAAAGAATTTTTCCCTTCTTTTTTTGTGTCTTTTACCTTTTTTCAGTGTGTAATCAATCACACACTGTACCCAACAGGTTTCAAATAGGAAGCAGATGGTGCAATCAAATCGAGTATTTTGAGGATATAATTAAGGCACTAATTAAAAAAAAAAGTACCAGGGTAGGAAAATCCCAAGGGATAATGCAGACCCCAGGACGGGTAAGAGCAAGTTACCATCTGAAGGAGGAGAGAGCTGTGTGCAGGGGGTGCACTGCCCAACACCACCACCATCTTCCCTGGACGTTCACAGCCAACTTTCAGCAACCCTGTACAAAACTGGTAGTTTCTCCTGTTCTCATCACCTGATCCCTCCCTTGGCTATTAGGATGAGAAATTATTCCTCATTAAGCTAAAGTCATATGTAACTCCTC